GGCACAGAAATAGTGTATTCACCTTAAAATCAGACCAGCAGTCTGTAGTACAGCTGGAAGTGAACATGTATTTTATATTGCCTGGTAACCTAAAACTTCCATCTTGGCTGTAACTACTTTCTGAAGACTAGAATCCATTTTTACAACCTTAATCATAATGAGACCATGCAGCAATCTTGCATTTCACTTTTGTACCTTATTCACTACGGATCTTATCCTCACAAGCCAGGTAGCAGGAAGCTTTTTGCAGAATGGAATTATACACATATTATGAGGCCTGGCAGCAGAATTCTCTTTACATAATGAGGTAAAATTTTCCTTTTTAAATTCCATATCTCATAGCATCAATACTTTAGTGCACTATACTGACCCTTCTTCTCCTAGCAAAGTAGGCAGACATACACACTGTCACATTTCTCCTCAAAAAAATTAATCAGTAAATAAATCCCTTCCTAAATTAATCAGTACTTATTCTCAGCTTACTATAAACCTGATGTTGATGCTATTTTTCACACTCCAGACATCATTTGAACTGAGCAATATTACTCAGGTCATATTGTAGGGAATTTGAGATTCTTTTGGAAAGAAAGACAGTTACCAAGGGGGAAAAAAAAAAACGACCAAAAAACTCATGGGAGTTTCTGAAGCTGTCAAATAGACAGAAGCCAGAACCCAGACAGTACTTTTTTTTCCAAGATCCGTCTGTCCCTTGTGTGGTGACTTCATGCTTATTGACATTGTGTCGAGAAATCACAATTGTGGAGAAAGACTGAAGGAACTCAGGTGTCTTAGTGTAGAGAAGACTGGTGGTGAGAGAAGAAAATAGTGTTCAAATAATTTTATTGGTAGTTGCACAAAGGAAAGGAATAAATTCGTTTGGTGACAGGATATGAGGAGAATAATGGGTGAAATAATTCTTTCAGTGAGAATAGCAAAGCAGCCCCTAAGAAACTCCTTGATTTCTATCAACAAAGTACTTTTACAACAGGTTGATGAACACTGGCCAGGAGTGTTGTAGGGACAGTCAGAAAAGGGGCTGAACTAAATGTCTCAAGGTCTGTGATTTGTCATTTGCCATTAACTAGATACATGTTTAAACATCTGCAAAAGTTGGTAAGAGCTTTCTCAGCTTTGACTGATACTTCCTTTGCTCCTTGACTTTTGCCAGAAATGTGAGCTTATGATGTTTTTACCTTTCTACTCTTCAGTGAAAGCATTGTTTCCACCTCCATTTATATATTAATTTTAGTTAAAATTTTCAACAGTTTTTCAATTCTAGGAGTCGATGTATGTTCACTTACTAACTAACCAAACCTGTGAATTTTTCATCTTTAAGGCCTGGTTATCCTGCTATCCATATCCTCTTTTTTTTTTTTTCTTTCCTTCTCTCTCTTCTTTTTCCTGACATCTCCAAAATTTTTGTGAAGCTTTGTCTTCTGTAGTCAACCTAGCAGAAACATTATTCAGAACTTCTGACTCATACAGAAATAAATAAGTATTGCCAAGACCCCAAAGTCCAGGCAAGGAAGTTCCAATGGAAGTGTTTGAAACCAATGAGTCTGGACTTCGCAGGATGAGTCATCTACTGCCATACATGTTGATTTGAAGAAAATAACAGTGGAGTTCAGAAGTTCTTGCACTTTGTTAATCATGTCACCCTTCTCCATCACAGACCTATGAATATGTTTGTGTATAGGTGCAGATTGAAATATTTAAAGATTGCTTGAAGAAAAGTTTGATCATTCCTTTCAGACAAAAACTAAAATTCTCACATCTCTCTTACTACACAAAAAAGAAGATTTCCAGGAAAGCAAACTTATTTTTCCATTGCTATACCTTATGAAGCCTAGGGAACCAGAAGTTGGAAGCCTTAGAAAGTTATGTGCCATGTATAGGCATTCCTGGAAATTCTGATCTATTTATTCAAACAAAAAAGATATTAGAAGTGGGTACCCCATTAGTTATGTGACTATATTCTCATATCTGTTCTTTATTAAATTAAAAAAAGAAAAGCTAAAGCTATGTCTAGTTGTGCCCAGAAATAGTTTGCTTTCACTTTGGTCTTCACTGGCTTGTTTCTATATTTTTTTTAAATTCAGACCAATTCTATTTATTGCCTCATTACATGATTTAACATTTATTACATTCGATCTTAAATAATTATGCATAATATTTATAAATATTAAATAGCCATATTAAGATGTAAGAATATCTTTACATGACTGGGGTTTATTTTTCATACAGTCAAACTTATTAGAAAACCATATTCATTGCCATGCACATACCAGCACAATTAAATTTTTTTGTTCACATCTTTTCATAGAAACTGTGGTTATAATAAAGTTTGGTCTGGCAAGCCTTTTGGGATTTGGAGTAATTTCTGTAATTAATCCTCCTGCTCTCTAACTTCAGAGTTTTGGTGTGCAGTACTTTTCTTCTTGCAGTCTACAGCCAAGTGAGACATTCAGGACTGAATTAAGACAACACACAGTGTTGTAGTTTAACCCCAGGTAGCAACTAAGTCCCAGCAGCTGCTTGTTCACTTCCCCACCCCTATCCCAGTGAGGAAAAAAGTGGATAGAAAGGGCAAACCTCATGGGGTGAGTTACAAACAATTTAATAATTGAAACAAAATATGAAAGATATTAACAATTAGACACTACTACTACTAATTGTAATGGAAAGAGAAATAAAACCCAAGAGAAACAAGACATGTGCAATACAATTGTTCACCACCCACTGCCTGATGCCCAGCCTGTCCCCCAGCAGCCATTGACACCTCATGGCCAATTCCTTCCCTGTTAATATAGTGGGCATGATGTTCTGTGGCATGAAATATCCCTTTGGACAGTTTGGGTCAGCTGTCCTGGCCATGATCCTCTCCATTCTTGAGCACCTCCTCACTGGCAGAGCACAGGAAGCTGAAAAGTCCTTGATTTAGAGGAAGAACAACTCAAACCCAACTAAAACATCAGCCTGCTGCCAACATTACTCTCATACTAAATCCAGCAATGTACCAGTTACTATAAAGAAAATTAACTCTATCCCATCTGAAACCACGACAATTTGCTTTACTGATTTATTTTGCACTACCTGGCATACTTAAAAACCTTCAGAACAAACAGAGAAGTGCCCATTTGCTGTGGTTCACAGCTGCTGACTAACAGCTGCAAAAAGAGCCACATTTTTACATTGAGATAGCCAACTAGAACTAACAATGTAAGAGTTGAACAAAGGGCATAGGACAGGTTTTGGCACAGGGTAACTTTTTCCAAGGGAAATCAGCACAATGAATCTGAGCTTAATTACATGTACTATCAAAAAGAAAAAAAAAAGAATAAAGAAAGAAAAAAGAAAAAAAGAAACTAGAGTAGCCCAATTTCATATTCTTATTTACATAGAGATTTTAATGTGCTGGTTTTGGTTGTTTCAGGTTTTTTTGGTGTGTGGTAAAGATATTCTGCAAGTCTGCACTGACAGAGGAAACACTGGTATCTGTTATACTTACCAACATCTCTGAACCTAAAATAGTAGAACAGAAAGCCTTGAAGAAGTTTTTGGTCTATTTCTGGAGCAGTGATTTAAAAAAGATTAGATCTTTTCTTTAAGGACTTCCTTTACATAAGTGGAAACAGATTTTCCTTTTGAAAAGACTCAGTTTATTTTTTTTCTCTGCTTGACTTTTATTTGAACCATCCAGGTTTTGTCTGCTTACGAAGAGCATGTGGTAATTTGGAAACTTGCATCTCACTGTATTTCAAGTGATGATGAAAGAAAGGCTATTTGGCCTTTTAGAGCTTTCAGTGTGCACAAAAGCATGTATACCTGGTCTGAGTCCCATGATAATGTACATGTCAATTGTGTTAGATAATGAATTAACTTGTGAAGTTCCAGAGTGATGAGAGAAACTATGCCCCCTGGATCTGAAACGAAGAACAGGTAAACAGACAAACCAGATAAACAAGTTTGTTAAGGCCTTTCCATTCTCTTTAATTGAATCAGAAAATTCTCCTGAATAATTGTACACCGCAGGCAACATGTCAATTATTTGGGGAACAATAAAGTACTCTTCACAAATGGATTCATACTCATGAGCTCCTCATTACATCTAGCATGCAGCAAGTTTTGTTGGCAAAACTTATTTGCTTAAATTAAGAGGTGGTTAGGGTATTTATTTCAGTTATAATATAGGAGGAAAAACACTGCCTACTTTAGAGTGAATGTGAAAAAATTATTTGTTTGGTGCATAAGAGGAGCTGCTTATGCTAGAATAACTGTCACCTTTGCAATACCTTTATAACAGATTTGAAGGAATATGTAGTTCTAGTTAAATATTTTCCATCTCAGAAATTGTAAGTGCCTTTTAAAGGTAAGCAAAACCCATAACTCCTTTTTCTAACCCAGGAAAAGATGCACTTTTTATACTACTGTGTGTATTAAAAAAAAAAAACCAAACAAACTCTCTCCACCTACTGCCATCAACATTGGTTCATTTCCATTCACAAAATGAACATTTCTTCACTCCATCAGCTTTCTTATTATCTGCTTCAATTGTTAGGACACGTAATACACACATGCATTCAGTACATATAGAGAAATGTATGCTTATCACCAGTGTTTATCCACAGCACTATCACTGTGGCCCACTGGTTGAGGCAATTCCCTTTGTTAATGAAGAAGCATCTTCCTGAAACTGACACTGAACAACTCGCAACTGTTTGGGTTCACTGCTAGGTTTGTTTCACAGCTGCCACTTCTGGGTAACTCACTTGTAAACTACCAGAGCTAAAATCCTCCTTTTCATAAAGCAGCAGGAGGAGATACTGTTTCCTAACCTTACTCTTTAACTGTGATCTCCTTGTGATGAATGAAGATAGTGTGAATAATTTAAGCCTAATCTTTTTATCCAGCTGGCAGTAGAGAAATAAAGGCACTTTTTTTTTTTTCCCCCTGCTTAAGGAAATTTCACATGAGAGGAACACTACGGTGTGCTTACTCACTTCACACAAGCTGCTGTGAGCACAGCAAATCCGCACTTCCTCCTTCCCGCAGCACAGGCCTCTGGCAGGTGCCGCTGTGCCTGGCGGAGGCAGCCTCTGGGCTGGCGCTGCGGGCTGCTCTGCGGTGATGGCACCCACCGAGGAGCGCCCGCTCCGAGGCCACACGGGCCTCCAGAGTCTTGCCTGCAGTGAGGAGTCACCTGCGAGAGCGGGAAGCCTTCCCTTCGAATGCCGTACTCACCTAGGCACGGGACACCTCCCATCCACCGCTTCCTACCGTCACCGTGCGGAGCGCGGGGGTGACAGCCCTGCTGTGTCCCCAAGGGGACAGAGGTCACCGCCTGCCCCGCCCCGGCCTCTCCTTCCTCAGCCTCCCGCCCCACCCGCGGCCGGGCAGCGCCCTGCGCCCATCGGGCCCCGGCACCCGCCCGGGTGCGGACAGCGCGGCCGAGCCCGGCTGCTGAGGAGGTGGCACCGCAACGAGGACCCAGCTGCCCGCCGGCAGCGGCCCTGCGGCGGGGAGCGCCCAGGGCCAGTGCCGACCCCCGCACGGGCGCTGCCCCTCGGAAGCCCGTCGGGAACGGGGACGCCGGTGCCCATCCCGCAGCTCGGCCCTGGGGCTGCGCGGAGGCGGCCGCGGCTGTACCGGCGCTCGCCGGCTCAGCCAACCCCGCACTGCACAGCGCCGCGTCCAGGTGCGCCCGCCCCCGGCGCCCGGATTGACCGCGCTGAGAGCCAATCGCCCGTGAGGAATCTCGGCAACTGCCCAATCACCGCTCCGGAAATGGGATGTGGGCGGTGCCCCGGGGGACAGCGGGCTCGGTGGCGCCGCGGCCGAGGAAGGGCGAGCGCGGAGGCGGCGGCGCGGGCGAGCGCGGCCGGGCTCCGGCCGGCACTGCCGCAGGGATGGCGGCGGCCGCGGCGAGGGGCTCAACCCCCATGGGGAGCGCTGCGAGCCGCCCCGTGACCCGCTGAGCGCCCTCCGCCTGCGCGCTGCCGTTACCCCTCCCCGCGGGCCGGCCCGGCTCTGCAGTCGCCATAGAGACCGCGCCGCACGCCATGGGGCGGAGGCTGGGCCGGGGGGCGCCGCTGTAGCCCCCGCCCCGCGCCGCGGACACCATCACCTGTGGGGCCGGGGGCGCCGCCGGGACTCGCCGCGCCGCCCCGAGGAGCCGCCGCCTCGGCCCCGTTCCAGGTGAGGATTCGCGGTGCTGCGGCCCCAGCGGCTGCTGCGTGGGAGCCGCGTCGCGGTTTCTGTCCCCGCGGGAGAGGGAGTTTGCCGGGCGCGGGAGCTCCGGGGGCCACGGCCCGCCCCGGGAAGGGCTCCTTCCAGTGGGGCAGGACGGGGCGATCCCCTCCGTGGAGTTAAGGTCGGCAGGTCTGGCGGGCTCCAGCAGCAGTCACCGCTGCCCCGGCCTCTACGGAGAACTCAGATTTACAGGCACGAGATTTTTTTTTTTTTTTTGTCCCTCCTACTTGCTGCAAGAAGGCAAATGGTACAGAAATTTACGTGTTCTGACGGCGAAGGATCTCTGTTTTAAAATAGCTGCGTCTGTGTTTCCAGCTCTGGTTTGTGGCATGCGTGTGACGGCTGCTGTGTGGGCACGGCTGGATGGGAAGCGGGCTGTCTGTCGCCTGGCGCTCTGAGTGCTGGAGCCATTAGCGGCACTCGCATCGATCCGTGCATACAGATATGCCCGGCTAGGCCGCGGGTGCGCGCCCCACGGCGCCCAGGGGAGCACAAGCTGCGTGTGGAACGGCGTTAAAAGCACGTTATTGCCCGTACTGTTAGCTTGACAAAGAGGAAGTGGGGAAGCGCCTGGTTCCCGAGTCTACAGATGATCTCTGGAGCTGCAGCGGCATCCTTAGGCTTCTGTTGTCACTCTAGAGCAAAAGCAATGAGAGGACAAAGCTTGCTACGAGGTTTGTAACCTCTGCTGTGAGCCAGGGCAGTTGGAAACAACTGCTAGTGTAAGTGGGGGCGGGAGTGCAAATGATAATATTGATGTATTATCGTGGGGGCGGAGGGAGATGGACACAAAGGAATGACCCTGGAGTATACCACAGCATTTTGAGAACCTTCTACTGTATTTATAATTAAGCTGGAAAGGGCTATAGAAAATGAGTTATAAAATAGCCTGTAGTGGCTTTCTTAGTTACACTCTGTGTGCAGAACCAGTGTGATTTCAGCTTAAACGTTCTGAATTAGTAAACTATATTGCAGGAATGTTCAAAGCGTTAAAATAAATCATGCTCTATTTATTTCAGTATCTTGTTAGCCTTGAAGTAAGTGGTTAGTTTCTGTGTGGTGGTTCTGGAAAAAATGAGTAGATTTTCAAAATGCATTCTGTGTAGTTAATGCCATGCCTCTGTTGAACACATGCTAGCTATGCTTGTAGGTATGTTAGCTCATTTTAGCTGAGAAAACAAAAGGTTAGGACTTATTTTGCTGCTCTTGTGGTAATATTTTTTGAAGCCTTTATTGTATGAGTTCATGATACAAAGATAACCAGCATTTTTATTTTTTGTTAATATTGTCCTGAATACTTTCTGATGATGATTCATTTGCTTTACCGAGAGAGTGAATTATGTTAAACTTTCTTAACTTGTTAAACCAGAGGTATACGTGTTAACATTTGTTTGGCCTGTCAATGAAATTATATATAGGAAAGTTTGACTGCAATAGTATGAGTAGTCATTTGTCAAAAGTTATTTTGAAAACAGTGCATCAAGATACAGTTTAAAAAACGTAAAGATGGAACCAATTATCCCTAAAAAATACTTTGTTCTTCTCTGATACATTCCTGATGAACCATTATTTACTTGAAGCTCAGCATCTTTTTAAACTTCCTGTTTGGGAAGGATGAGGTTAGAATGAGAAGAACAAATTGAGCCACTGGGATATCGTGACGTCGCTTCTGTTCAGTGTGGTCACCGTGCTGCTGCTGCGTACTGCAGGCTCTGACACTTCTAACATCACAAATTCCAGTGAGGCTTTTCTCAATCTGCCTGATTATATCAAGGAGATTTTTGAGCATGACAGATGAGAGATATGAGTAGGGCTTTCCTTGTTCAAAACTGGCTTCTAAATGATCAGTTTCTACCAGTGCTAGATATTTGTGTACAGAAGGTTAAGCATCTGTTTAGTGTGTGAAGTTGCAGTGTATCTTATATTAATATACTACTGTGCTTTCTGTTTTAGTAAGGGCTTGTTTATCTAGTGGGAATGAATTGGTACTTTACAAAGGAAATTGACAGTTTCTGTGTATTCCTGTGTCTTGCCTTGTCTGTTTCTTTTTCTCTGGGGAAGCACTACACAAAGCCTTTGTGTTAGGCTGCAGGGGAGGAGAAACAGCTGCCTTTTCAGTACTAGACCCCAGGATTTGTCGTGGTCTCCCAGGGATGCACTGTGGTACACGGACCAGCCACTGTCCTTCCTCCCTCATTCTGCAAAAACACTCTCACCTCAAGAAACCTGAGCTTCCTTTGAGTGATCTCTCAGAGCAGCGAGTTGTGCCATGGATCTAGCAGATCAGTCTGAAGGGCCAATTGTTAAAGCATTGGTGGGCAAGAATTAAAACATGCAAAATTGTCAAAATACAAGGTTTATCTTAAGGAATTCAAGAGCTACAGGTCATGTGTGTTTGAAATTTTTTTGTTATGAGCTTGTCTTCTAGTTCAGGATTAGGGTGAAAGAAACTTTCTCAAATCTTTTACTTGGCGCTTTTTTTTTCTGTTTAAGAGTGTAGTATCTAGGGTACTTAAGTGGGAATTAAACATGTTAATTTTTAGAAGTGGAGATACAAGCTATTTCAGTTGGATAAGAGAGTACAGCTAAATGGAGCAGTTTCATTTTTCTGCTCTCCACGCACAAGTGGACTGCTCTAATGCTTGTACTATGTACTCTGTCATGCAGTTGCAGAATAAAAGAGGGAAGTTGGCTTCCCTCTTTTTGTTAGAAATACTGGGTACTATCTAATGTACTATCTATTTTAGTAACTATATCTTGTATGTTCTTTCATAATAACTTTTTTGAAAATTTCATCCAATCTTTACTTATCCTTTACAACTTTATTTATTTATTTAAATTTTAGAGTCAGAATGCTCCCCTCTCCTTGCTTCAGTGCTAGGTGTTTTGTAGTGTTCTTTTGAGGGAATCTAGTAACTTGGATTTTTTTAAAGCTGCTCGTGAAATTGAGATGCCATTTTTAGCCATTTGAATTTATAGTCTATCATGCTCTGTATGAGCTTATAGGTCACTAGTCTTGAAACCTAAGTAGTGGAAAATTCAAGCAATAAAATCTGGCCTTCTGACTTCACCTCTTGATCTGGTTGAGAATTCTTTTTCTGATTTTTGAGATGTTGTATAAGTCATGACTTTTGAACAGTTATTTTTCAAAATTATTTTTCAATTAATAGAGATGAATTCTGGAAAATGTGAGAAGGTTTTTGGGGAGAAGGGAAAGATTTAATTTGAGAGGAGTGAGGAAAGGAAGGCAAATTGATAAACCAAAGAAGTCTTGAGTGTTTTTAACAAAACTATTTTGTGAAAAAATTAACAATATTTTTATTGTTATGTTCAGGCATGTTTTTCTGTAGTTCTTGGCCTATGTGTTTGAGAACTTTTCATCACAGAATTGCATCACTCAAATGTTATTTCATGTTGTTGCTTTTTGTCTGAAGAGATTAATCATTGAGAATTGCACTGATGAGGAACTCTATCTGCTTATTCTTCCTTTTGGAGAAATGTGTGTATGTAGCTTAGCCTTGCATTTCAGTGCAAGTAGTAGTTGGAAGAGTTGAAGGCCTCTTTCATGGATGAAGTTTGCCAGGTCACTGATGGTACTGATAAGGAGAGTAATTTTCTTTCCAGTACAAAGCTGTCTGACGTATAAAGGAAGAGTTAAATATGCTGAAGTTGCTTTGAGAGCTTGTGGAGGATGTCATGTCTCTTTAATATGTAGCCATCTTTTTCTGTCTGGATGTTGCAAAGGGACTTGTTACTTGTTGCAGGGACAGGTTACTAATGTGGAGCTCACACGCAGAATAATGTAAAGAATCAGGTTTTGTGTCATCCTGGTCTGTTTGTACAGAAATAAT